GAGACAAGCCCAGAGTAGTGAGCTCACCAAGTAGGATGCAAAAGCTTTGGCGGCGGTCTCTATCACCCCCTTGTCACCCAGAGTTCAGGCCACCTGAAGGTCTTTCCATCCCTCATAAAGATCGAGACACATGGCAGCGACCTGCAGGGAGGCCTTTGAAGAAGACTATGAGGGAGTACAGCGTTAGCCACCAAGAAAGGGGCACAGAAAGAAGAGAGATGTATCAGCGGTGCACTGATGGTTTGCGACAGCATTTGTGGAAGAGGAGGAGCCACAAGTATGGGCACACCCAGGAGCAGCAAAGAGGAGTGAGTAACAGCAGTAGAGGGGATGAAAATTGACGCGCCAAGCTGAACCAATAGGCGTGTCTTAAAAATTGTAGGCAAAATGAACATCGACCATGTGGTACCAAAGTCTGACTAGTGCAGCACAATAGGGCAGGGCACCCTATCCAGAAGACAGTGAAGCAGAACCGAGACATACGAGAAGCTCAGAGGACAAGTCAATTTTTCCATTCAGTGCAAAGAAAACAAGTACGCATCACAAAGATGGCACCAACCACTCAGGCTATCATACAGAGGATAGGACAGAGAACAGGCTATGCAAATTTAGACTGATGGATACTCACTCAGCTCATCAAACCACCCCTCCACAGCCTCCAGTCAGAGTTCCAACCGATTGATCTTGGTGATCAAAAGGAATTGTTCATGCTCAAAGACTTCCATCAGAAAGACTTGGTCTAGTCAGATGTTCTGGATATAGTGGAAGATGCACTCAGTTTCCTCATGCACATTTGTCGAAACTAGCAGATGGAGGTTCTACTAAGTCAAGAAAATGAGCAAGATAATGAGCAGACGTACGTGCAGGAGTGGGCTCAAGAAGGGAGCATGAATTGTGACCAAGGCAGCAGTGAACACAGGCATGTGAAGCACTGGCATTCTGGGAAACAGGGACAATAAGACACTCATCTTCAGAGGTACAGCAAGAACACTAGGAGCAAAGAGTCAGTAAGCATGGGTATCTGACTGGACAAGGTGAATATACCTTGGCAGAAGGCCAAGGCTTGCCAAAATTAACAAGTGCTTGCTTTAGCACCCTGAAAGTGTTGCGAACAATATCCAGGTACTCTTGGAGAACCTCAGGAGTAATGGCCTTAGAATGCATGGCAGGCACCTTGCCGGATGATGTAGCAGGAGCGGGAGGCTCAGGAGACCCTGCTGAAGAACCCACCATGGATTGCACATGAGAAACTGAGGCAGCACAAATGGCAGTGAGAGTCTCGCTGAACTCACGCTTGGTGAGCTTGACAGACGAAGCGGAAACACTCGACGTGTGAATTGGCTTGGCAGCTGTGGCCATGCAATCTTGATCAAAATGCATCCACCAGAAGGCAATGGAGTGTACGCACCCAAGAAACTTTGTATCATGATGATCAACCACGAGATCCTCCACGCATCCCATCAGAAGTGAGTTGCATGCAGTAACATGAGCCTGGGATGCTCCACTGAGCATTCCTCAGTCCACCATCTCGACTATCCCTGTCATTTTGGTGTGCAGTTCCATAAAGGAAGCTTTGGTGGAGGCTGAGTGAAAGGCTGCGAGATCAGTATGGCCAATTGCAGCAGCAAGCCATAGGTCGAACTTGGGCCACGAGTGGAACATTAGCCAATCAAGCATACTGGCCATAATGCCAAAAACTGGAGTGGCGATGAAAGGGGAACAAATGCGAAGCTCAGTCTATATGGAAGGTCAGACATGTGTCGCCTGCACTCGGATCTCTGACTCACCAAAGTAAGCACAAACATGTCCACCCAGTGGTGCCATACCTTCTTGAGAGTGTCGAGTGCAGGCACATCCATGATTATGTTGTCCAGAGTGGTAAGCCATGCTTTGGCTTGGTCCGGAAGCTCCTTGAAGTCAGAAAAGTAAAAAGAGAAAATGCCAGGAGGAGGAGAAGAAGACATGGTGGAAGACTTGAATATGGACAAACAGCAGGAAAGGATGAGCTGGATATACGAAGACGATGGACCGAGGATGGTCCAGGTTTCAGAACCAGGGAGATGATATGCACTGAAATATTCTGCGCTCGAAAACCCTTCTGGAAGAGCAGCCGAGGGCTACGTGACTTGATAATGCATATATGTCAAGCAGAACAGTCTGGACAGACCAGCACGAGGGCCTCCGACTCTGAAGAATCTGTGGCAGCAGCACCATATCACAAAAGGGTCATACATAAGACTCAGAAATGAGCCAGGACCTGCACGTTAGCACCACCAATTACAAGAATAAAGGAGAAGAAACTGAGCAGGACGAGCTTGGCCAAATTGGCATGAAGGTTCATTCTAAGCGAGAGAAGCGCAGGGAAGCAGACCATCAGACCCTTGAGGGCCCTTACCTTTCAGTTCCCTGACTGCAAGCAATGATGAGGAGGAGGCGGAAAATGTTTTGGAACTGTTTCAGAGGATCGGAAACGCGAACAAGGATCAGAAATATCTTCTACTACATTATAAGGTGCTATTCTACACCTATATAATGGTCTATGTACCTACCATAAAAACAACAGTGGACTTCACCCTTCAGAGTTCAGTTCTACGCACATTGTCTCAATAGGGCAGCACGCCCTATTCAGTCTCACTCGTCTACATCTTCGTATCATGTCTAGTTAGCTCTCAACACCACGTGGGGCAGCACTTCTCATAGTGGCCCATAGCTCGACTCGAGAAGTGCCCAGTAAAAGTCACGTTACCACATTTTTCCCTCACACCACCTCATTTTTCCTCTCACGCCATCTATCACGAGCTCTAGCAACTCAGATCTCCATCCCCATCAGACTCTGTAGCCTCAGCAAGCACCCAGGTTTTGTTTGTAGTGCTGGAGATCCTGCATAGATGTCCTGGAGACCTAGGGAGTGCCCAATCCCCCTCCGTAGTGCAGGAAAGAGCTGCCTATAGTGCCCAAGCCACAAGATTGGTCAGCCAGAGACCCACATCACTGCTCGATCCCTGACCCTCGACAACTTGTTTGGTAGAGGCACTCGCCACCCTTCTAGTCATCCCACACAACTCATCCTCTTCTCGACTCATCTAGAGTCAGAAACACTTTCCTAGTCTGAATCACCACTCACTGCTCTGTTTCAAGCACAATGTCGAATGACTCGCAGCCGCTCCTCAAGCATTATCAGCTGAAGTTTCTGCAACTGTGGCCCAAGGTGAATGGAGATGAACAGCTCTGATCCACCTTCCTCGACAGGATAGGAGGTAGCTGGCAGCCAGGAAGCAGTTGAGCATATCATCAGATAGCAAGTCGCCGCAATCTGGGAAGGTGATGTCTGAGCCAGAACAGTCTAGAGGGGGCAAAGGAAGGCTTTGTTGACTGCCTGAGAATGCAGAACCACATGAAGAGGTCAGAAGAAGAACATGAGGTGTGGAAATGACAAGTAGGCCACTGAGAAGCATCACCAACTACAAGCTGCAGTGTGAGAGCAGAAAGCGATGAGTTAGGCAACTTGGAAATAAGCAAGTATGCTAATCGAACAGAAGACAGGGTAGCGGACTGATGGACCCTGTCAGGGTCAGACTTCCAGTTCGCCGACTGTAAGATATGGAAAGGGGGCAGGAGCGAGCTTTGCGACATGTTTTACGAGATCAGAAACATATTCTACGATTGGAAACACATTTCAGCGACCCAGCTGGCTCATTTCTGACTTACTATATAATCTACCCTGTACATAGGAATAAAAAGGAAGTAATACAAAGTTTTTTCCACTGAGCAGCACTCAGTTCTCATCTCGTCTATGCTAGGGCATCGTGCTTGACTATGTCTATGCCAGTTGCGACTACATTCTATGTTTCTGGGATTCTCGACACTGAGAGGGGCAGCACTCTCAGCAGTGACCTCTAGCATGACTCGGATTTCAGCCAGATAAGTCACATTATTGTATTCTCATATCTCACGCCATCACATTTCGCTCTCATGCCACCTGTCACGAGTCTCGAACCAGGATTTCATCTCCATCAAACCCTGCAGCCTCGCTAGCACCCAGAACTGGTCCGTAGCACTGGGGAGTACTAGCTAAATGCCCAGAAGTTCATCATCAGTACTCGATCCAGTCAGAGATGCCCAGAAGTTCATTGTCAACACTCGATTCAGTCAGAAGTGCTCAGGGCTTTGTCGTCGACGCTTGAGCCAGTTCGGAGGCAGTTAGGGCCTCATCGTCAGTGCTTATTCAGCTTCATCCAGATATAGCAATTTTCTGTGATATAGCTCAAGACCTCAGCCATAGCAGTTTGCAAGCACAGGAGTCACCAATTGCATCTCACAGATACACACACCCACCATCTAGCTGTCGACTGCTTCTCAGTCCAACACCCCACTCTGATCAAGTCCAACACTCACCGATCTGAGTTTGTGAACTGACCCATTTCAAGCAACACAGCTGAACGACTCGCAGCTGCCCATCACTGCATTATTATCTGAAGTTTCCTGTGAATGTAGCTCAAAGGAACCGCAGACAGAGAGCCTCAGTTTACCTTCCAAGTAGGGTTGGTTAGGAGTGCTGCTCATGGCCAGGATGTGGTTGAGCATATCACTGAGCCTGAGCTGAGCTGAGCCTGAGCTGCCTTCCTCAGGCCTGGCCTGCGTTGGTGATAGGCCTGAGCCTGCTGAAGCCAGGGCTTTTGAGCCAAGCTGGGCTGAGCACATCACTACTCTAGACTCTTTCAGCTCATAAGTCAACTCCTTTGGATTGCAGTGACTTGTTATCTGATAGCATGAGAGTCGAACACATTTTCTGTCATTTTTTGATTGCAGAACATTTCAGTGCATATGCACACCATACAGATGAACTTGCATCTGAACTGAACTGAGATTTTGTCTTATATCACTGAAGGTCTTAAACTAGGGTCCAGCCCAGTTCAAGGCATCACATCACACCCTATGAGCCTATGGCCAAAAGGATACAGTAATCTGACAATGCTTGGCTTGTACAATGTAGTACAAGCTAGTACTGGCTGTTGTTGTTGTACAAGCTAGTACTGGCTGTTGCTTCGTTGGTACATTGTAGTACAAGCTAGTACTGGCTGTTGCTTTGCTTGTACAATGTAGTACAAGCTAGAACAATATAGTGCAGGCTAGTATTAGCTAGTATCAGCTTGCACTTTATACTAACCATCATTAGCACAAATTGGTGCAGGTCAACACAACTTAACTCTAAACAGAAGATAATGCTAATGAGCATTTAAAAATATAACACAGACATATGATATCAATGAACATTTTAATAATATAGATAACTTGATAGGCACATTGTGATCAGAGGCAGACTCATAGAGCATAATGATTGTGATTCTCGTAATGTTCTATTGTAAATTAGGATCATGACATGAAGCCCATCAAGTTGTGACATGGTCACAATACTTACAGAATATTTGACTAAAAATTAGTGAAGTCATATTTCCGTGATTTTTCTCAATGATCTCATCATAACTCCATCATCTTATGACTCATGAAACTTTGACAATTTCTTGAATATTGTTCCTAATAATCACCATGCAGGACTAGAAAAATATTGAAAATGATATTTTGAATAGTTTGTACAAGACATTAACAATGTCCTTTGCTTTATACATTGCCGATTGTGGAAAGCATATCTTCAATAATTCTCAATTTATTCAACCGAGAATGCCCTTACATGATTTGAACTCTTTTTCGTACATTATCTCAATTATATGATGTGAACTATCGCATTTTTCACCCAGTGTTATGAGTGAAAACCCGCTCTGTCATCCTGTGTAAGTCCACCACGGAAGTGCGGTGCTGCATATCGCGAGGCTAAGAACCACCACCGCCTTTGCGCGCTTCTATGCCTCGACGTCGATCAGGAGTGGATGCGCAAAATGTTTATAGTTCTACTCCAGGTAAATAATTATATGACCAAATGCCTACAAGCCGATGGTATACTAAAAATCCTTCCACTCGTCCCAATCGTCATCTTTCTTCGCAGCAGCGGCAGAGGAACCCGCATTACCAGGCGCCTTCGAAGCTGTGCTGGCGCTTCGAGCCGGCGCACTGCTAAAGGTGTCAAAGAACTCCTCCTCTTCCTCGTGATCCGCATAAAGCGCGGACGTCTCCCCGACATATGCGTATCCCACATCGACAGAGCTGTACCCCCTCCGTTCCGGTCCTCCGACCACCCTGTCCTTCACAGTCCCCACCACTCCTCCGACCTGCTGCGCCACATCCACTCCGAGCGCGTTCTTGCTCCAGGTGTTCGCACTGCGGCCAGCCTCTCCTACACGCTTGCCTGCCTCGGAGACGTACCCACGCACACCCGACTGGAAGTTCGGGTCCATCACCTTCCCCACGCCAGGCTGGATCACGTTGTCGTTAACGGCACGCGTTGCACCTGCGACAGCAGCAGAGAACAGCGACCAGCCCTTGCTGAGCGCGGCGACAGGGTTCTCCTGGAGCTCAGCAAGGGAAGGTGCAGCCCTGGACGATAGACCATAGGATGGATTTGACGCTGGAGACGGCGTGTTACCGAACCCTTGATAGCGGCCGCCTTGTGAGGGGTGGAGATCGGCCGATCTGGAAGCGTTGGCCTCTCCCAATCCTGCGAAAAACGTCTCGTTCGCGGCCTTCTGATCCTGTTGGAGGGGAGTCGCCGATGTGGGACTTGCACTGCCTAGACCAGGAGAATTGCCGTTGCCGAAGGAGGCTGGGGACGATGAATCACTCCGTAGTTGACGTCCGGTGCTCGTGCGAGCAGAGGCTCTGGATTTGCGAAGTCCTTGAGCAGACGACGGTCGTCCTGGTGGGCTCGCAGCACCGCTAGGGCTCGTTCCCGCGGGCGGTGCGGATGGTGACCAAGGCTTGCCAGCAAGCTCGGCATCCAGCTGTAAGAAGCACGTTGTTCTGTATGTTCCGTCTACAGCCAAGTAAGAAAACGAACCTTCTCTCGATATTGCGATGCAGCCCAGCAATGATATGTATCATATGGACTCATTCCCGGCGTATATCCGCCCTGTTCGGCTGGGTATGTCTTCATAAACTCCCTGAATAATGCATTGCCTCCCAGCTACAGCGCGTAATACAAGCGTCAATCGTTATAGGGAATTTATAAGTTTGCCACGCACCTGCATGCGCTTGACCTGGTCCTCCTGCCATGTGTCCATCGATACAGACCTCACGAAGCTGTGACGGGCCGACCACGCATTAATGCTTATTCTCCTGGGCCTGGGCACAGCCCGACAACGAAAGACTCACCTAACGTGGACTCCGAAGCCTCTATGCGCCCCGGCACATTGCAAGCACAGGAACACTGCAAAGCTAATCCAGCAGCCTGTGTGACAGGCCCTGAGAACGAAGGCACAGATATTCTGACCTGAGCGATGCCCACTGTGGGTTCGGGTTCTGACAGTCAATGCATTTCTTGTTCTCGAGATCTTCGCGTTTGATGAGATCCTGGAGTGTTTTGCGAGCGACAGCCTGATCCATGGCGAGGTGAGGGTGAAGTGGCAAAGCGTGAGGTGGAATTGATGGGACTTGACCGCACCTCGGGTCCCGTTCCCACGATGCTGATCGCTGGCTCCAGCGCCAAACTGGCCCACCACAGCGGCTCGCCTCAGGCTACCACCCACGAGAACCCTGGATTGACTGATAGGTGCACCGATGTCCGTATCAACGGAAGCTTCAGTTTCATTTTGCGTGCGATGTGGCCCCTCCACGCGGTATTGCACCACGTGCAGCGCGTCCGCGGCTATACCCGAGACGAGGGAGAGCTGGCCGCAGCGATGGCTGTACAGCTCAGACTCCAACAGTCCCACACCAACGTTGCTGGTCTCATCACCGCTGAGCAGTACATAATTAAAAAAGAAGGTGTCCAGCGTGCAGTGCGTACCCAACGTGTCTAATGGGGATCTCTACAACGCGGTGTTTTGGCGCTGATCAGTGAGAGATGAGCGCGCACAAGCCCGTGTCTTATTCCCATCGCCATCGCTGCATTCTGAGGGGCTCGCCTACTTGACTGATCCATCTAACGTTGCGTCTTAATTTACGGACAGATTCGCTACTGCATGCTCTGCAGCAGCCCGAACTGCCCTTCCTCGCGACTGAGATCTCCCAGATCCTCGGATCGTGGCTGGATACAATCTACTACGCGTCTTCTGCTATATTTCTGCCGGAGCCCGATAACAGCATGATTCAGAAGACGAACGCACGCGCAGGGAGCAGCACCGTCGCCGCAGAGGATCCCGATGACGGCCCCCGCTCGTGGGGAAACTGGGTCGGGCGGAGGTAAGTGCTGTACACACCGCCTTGCACGCGTACCGCGCTGAACCCCTGCCATGGCGCAGGTACTACTCACTGGAGGTCGTCCAACACCCGCTCCGGGCGCGGATGTGTGGGTTTGGCGATAAAGTGCGCGATCGTGCAGCACGCCACATGGTAAACCTGGCCGCTGATAATGGGCACAGGACAGGCGGCCTCTGGCTCCCGCCGCTGTGGCCAAAATGATTGTGCAGAGGGATGACGGAAGCATAGTAGACGTCGAGTGAGTGTCCTGCAAGGTGACCTTTACAGTATGTTGCTGACGCGCATGACAGGGAGATCGACTGCTCGTTCTTCCTGGTGACGGTCGACTTGTGGTCGGCAGACGGCAAGCACGAAATGAATCTCGTCCTGCACCCCACGTCCGCTGATCGGTACGTCCTGCCCCCCACGTCCGCTGATCGGTACGTCCTGCCCGCGAACCACCTCAAAGCAAAACGACGCGCTGCCGCCAATGCCGCTCATCAGCGCTCGGGAAGAGACAGTCCTCCGCCGGCCTCCGCCTCTCAAGACAATACGCAAGTGAGCAAACCGTTCTCATGGATTGACAGCTGACATGGACGCGACATCTACAGCAGCCGAATGCAGTACCTCCATACATGGCCCCTCCCAGTGCGGGCTACTCAGCCCAGGTCTATCCGTACCCCGCGCAACCACCCTCCGATCCGCAGAGCTATCAGCCCATGGCAAGCTACGGCTCGTCATCCGAAGCCCCGATGCCCTGGGGCTATCCTCCTCAGGCAACGTCAATGGACCGAGCTTCGCAATATCCGCCGCCCCCTGTCCTCCGTCCCATTCATTCCGCAGGCCGGAGCAATTCGACCACTGGCGGGCCTGCGGCAGGAGTAAGTTACAACTCCGCAGGAACATCAAGACCTGGCGCGGGAGAAGACTGGCCGCTTGAGAACCCAGGGAGGGAGGATGCGGAAGGCATGCCATACCGCACCTGGCCACAAGACGCTTCTTATTCTCCGCTCGATAACAATAGCGTGTCTCATAGCTCCGGCGCGATCGAGCCTTCGCTCCGCCATTCACATGGGCCGCCTTCGAATCACGAGCATTCTTACGCGTCTTCTGAGACGTACACTCAGAACAGATACTCTCAGGAGCAGTACAACACCATCGGGCACCAGCAGCCCATCGATGCACAAGGGTATCCACAAGCACCATACACGCAACAGCCGCCGCCTGGGTCACACTATCACGACGCGCAATACGCTCAGGAACCTACGCCGCCATCGAATATGCCCCCCTTGCCAAGGCACACCTATACACGGACGCTCGTCGGGCCCCTGTCTGCGAACGCCTGCAGCCTGGTGGACGAGCATCGAAAACCCGGAATCTTCTTTCTCTTTCAGGATCTGTCAGTCCGGACAGAAGGTGCGTTCATCTGCGCAAATCCTATTCATATGAATTGGACCCGTGCTTATCGTGAACTCTATTCGCCCTTTCCGTTTGCATAGGTACCTTCCGTCTCAGGCTGCGTCTCATGAACGTCGGCGCGTAAGCTAGCTCGATCCCGTTGATAAACGCTCGTAATACAACTGACGCGTCTTCGCTGCATCCGCAGGCCTCCGGCTCCTGAGGGAAGAGCGTCTCGAATACACACAGGCGTATCGCCCGTACTTGCCCAGACATTCACTGAGCCGTTTGTCGTATTCTCCGCCAAACGCTTCCCTGGCGTGCCAGGTGAGCGCTCCTCTCTGTACATCACATGCTGAATGAGAGCTAATAGATCCTGTGACCGACAGATACTACCGCCCTCTCCATAGCCCTCGGCAGTCAAGGGCAGAAACTTCCTCTGGTGAGTAAACCCTCTCCACTCAACACATGCACAGCCAATCACGCGATGCATCGACGCATGGCGTCCGACTCGTTTAGCGAAATCGGAATGGTAGCGCAAAACTGGGCCGGAAGAGGCTCCGTAGCGGGTCATCAGCCTTGTCCGGCGACGAGTCCGATGAGGGAGGAACATGATGACGTAGGCGTCGAATTGTCAGTTTCGGGTTACGTGGACCTTCGCTTCGCTCGCCGCGTTTGCATCCGCTATCTTTATGATGGGTCCCCCAATGGCTGTCGTAGCAATAGTATTTGTCGCTCAAAGTTTCCTCACTCTGAACGTCTGCCAATGAATTTCCGGGTTCGCGCCCTCCTGACGCTGTTGAAGTCGCGGGCCATCTCCACTGTCTGCGGGCATTCGCTATAAATCTTACGGAGTATGGCAGCGGCCTTTAGTCTTCTCTGTCCGATCGTTTGCGGATCGGGCGTAGGTTCCGGCGAAGCCGTGGCTGGGCGCACTGGCTGTATCAGTCTACCTGATTCCAAGTGATCAAGGACTTCGTGGAGAAGGTTCAGAACGACAGCATGAGGCCGCCACACATTCCACAGGGGCGAGAACTTGTAGAGAATCTGCAACGCATGGGCAAAGTCCTCCTGGAACTCCTCTTCCATACTACGGCTTGATTTCAATGTAGCAGTTCCCACCGCTGTCTCTCGGCGATCGGTGGAATGCATAGGGGCATGAGGTGACACGTCAGGCAGGTCGTCCGGCTGGGGGAGACGCTCCGCACGAAGCGGTGATTTCGGCTCGAACTCACGCTTCATAGACAGTGACTCCCGGAATCGGCGCTGATAGGGCAGAATCACGCTTTCAACGATATCAAACGCGCGCTCTGGCTCGCCTGCACGGACGAGCGCGACGATGAGGTGATTGTAATTGTGCGAGTCGAACGCGAGCTTCTCCTCGTGCAGCCTGCGCCACGCCTCCGCCACCTCCGCGTGGTAGCCTCCCGCGGACATGGCGTCCGTGTAGATCGAGAGCGGGATACACATCGCCATACCGTGCCCGCGCAGATCGGGCAGCGCCCCGCCTTTCGCGCTGACCGGCGCAAAGAGCGAGTCCACCTCCGAGTGCCGCAGACCGAGCTCGACAATCTGCGGCCAGATCTCGCGTGCGGCGTCGGCGTTGCCTTTGCGCCGGTGCGCATCGAGCATCGCGGTGAGCGCACCGATGGTCGGCTCTCCACCCGCCTCGAGCATCTGCGAGATGAGCCGCTCGACGTCTTCGGGATGCTCTCGCCGCGCGTAGGCACTGAGCAGCGGCGCGAATACTGTCTCAATCGCACGAGCCCGATTTCCGCTGGTCTTCGCCCACTCGTGGGTCTTCTCTGCCGACATGAGCGACTGCACGAACTCTTCCGCAACCTGCAGTCCGGCCCCGCTCTGCTCCTTCCCGTACGCCTTGACGATCGCCGCGTACGTGATCGCGCTTGGCTGGATGCCCTGCTTGCGCATCTCGTCGAATAACTTCCTAGCCTTCCCCCGGTCGCCCTTTCTTAGATAGCCGGCCATGATGATCGTGAGAACGTAGACGTTGATGTGCATATGCGACTGCCAGTCCTCCGAGAGCGCTTCCATCTCCTTGTACAAGTCAAACGCAATCTCCATCAGACCCGAATCGCACGCAGACAGAATGAGCAGCGCGAAAGTGTGCGCATCAGGCCGGACCCGAGCCTCGTCCAGCCTCCGGAAGAGATTCGCCACCACACGGAAGGGCGCGCCAATAAGCACGTATGCCTTGAGCAGCGTGTTGTAAACCTCCACCGAGAGGCGCAGACCGCGGTGTGCAGAGCTCTTGAGGTAATCAAACGCACGAATGACACCCTCCCACTGACCGGCCTCGACGTACGCGTTCATCATAGCCGTGACCAACTGACGGTCAGGAACAACCCCTTCGCTGACCGCCCGCTTGTAGATCTCTTCAGCAGCGATGACGTCCCGTCGCTTTGCAAGCAGGGCGATGATCGTCGAATAGTGCTCCCGGCTGGGTGACATCCCAGCTGCGCGCATCTGGTCAAGCAGGTTCGCAACATAGCTGGTCTCGCCTTTCTCCGCAAAGCTTTTGAGGATGATGCTGTAGACATAGCTATCCGGGTAGATACCGTCCTTGGTCATGACTTCGAGCCAGTGGTTCATGCTCTCCAGGCTCCCCTCTCGCGCGAAGGCATGAATGACAGCAGTGTAGTGATAAATATTCGGCCGCAGTGCGTCCGGTCGCCTGGATATGGCTGGAGGAAAGAAGTGCTCAAAGAGCTGCACCGCGAGTTTGGCGTTCCCATTGACCGCATGAGCATGGAGCATCATGGCAATGTGTGTGATATTAACTGCGCTCCTTTGGGAGAGACGATTAAAGTACTCCTCGCTTCGTGGAATGTCGCCTTGATGTGAGAATAGATATAAGCCGACCGTTTGGAACGTAACAAACATTTGTCCTGACCCCATAAACTGAGTCAATGACATAAACAGGCTGTTAGCGAGCTCGAAAGCATCTGCCTTGACCAAAGCCTTGACCACTTCCAACTGCAGCTCGACCGTAAAGGACAAAGACTGGTTGCGCATGATCTCCAGGACATCCAGAGCTTCCTTACCCATCTTGCATTCGCACAGAGCATGCACGAGAAACTCGCCCGCCACCTGTCGCCTATCCTGTGACCACTGTTCATGAACGTCCTGTAAAAAGCCGACGGGGCTCTGAATGCAAGCAACCGACTGAAACGCGTGCATCCTGAACGCTTTGATTTGGGGGTGGCCCTTGTTCTGCCAGCGGAGAGTTGACCGGTGCAAATAGGTCCCGACAGCTTCCCACTTCTCCACGAGGTACTCCAGCACAGCCACAGGATCTCGATGCTGCCGCAGCGAGCAAATGAGCACATCGTGCATCTGCAGAACCTGGATTCGCCCCTCCGGCTGGAACGGCATCTCTTGCACATCGTGAGCAGCAGCAACAGCGTCATCGATCTTCCCTACCATGGCCAGACCACAGACACCCAAGATGCGCCACAGCAAAAAGTCCTTGTCATGAGAGACGGTCTTGATCCTATCCGAGACATTCTGCAGCAGGCTAAGCAACCGTGTTCCCCAGAGAATAAACGACTCGATCTGGATCCAGTCAAAGTGTCCGTCCTCCACGATTGCTGCGACCCGGGCGCCGTAGCTTAGCAGCTGATTCGCAGTCATAGACGCGCACCCATCAGCCTGTTGCAAAGACTCGTACGCACGCCATACTTTCTCTGGATCAGACGCCCGAGCTCCAGAGGTGTAGTCCATGATCATGCTTCGCCACTGGTCGAGGTGCTGCGTCCCGGGCTCAGAGGCCGACGAGTCAGGTGGCTCTTGGAGGCTGGACACGTATCGTATCTGGGATAGGTCGACGCGTCTGGCGAGGTTGTGCAGAGAAGGGAGGGTACTTCGTGTGGGTGCGTGCATGATTTTGCGGCAGGAGAGACGGCGAACCCTGGGTCGGCTCATCACCGTGCCATGTAGTGCGACAATGTACTTGATGTCTGGACGGTAATGAGGATGAGCCACGACGGAAAGCGTGAAGCCCACGGACGCCACTCACCGGTGCACGACTCGAGACGCACGGGTATGTCGTCACAGAGACAGTCATCGAGCGGCATGGCACGCTCCTTTCCCTTCACCCGGCGCGGACGCGGCGTGAAAAAGTCGCTCGGAAACGCAGAAGCGGCTGCTCCGGCCGTCATTCTCAAAGCAAGCTGGGAGGTCGTCGAGTGTGGTAGTGCCGTGAACGGACGTCCGGACAGGAGAGTGTTGAACACGGTCGCGGCCAGCGGCTCCAGCATCACAATGCCCACCCCGACGAGAATTTTGCGGCGGCCTGGTGGCGAGAGATGAGCACGACGACGAGCACGCACGCGAAACCGCGCGGACGCACCTGACGGAACAGGACCTGGCGAGCGTTAGGCAGACTGGCTGCGACATGCGTAGCCTGCAGAAAATCGCGCAGCGGCAAGAGCAGTTCGGCAGTGCCCGAGGCGCGCACGCGTGCGTGTTTGTGTGACCATGACGGTCCTGGCTCGGAGATCATCACGTCCTCGACGCGCTCTTTCCCATCCTCGAGGCCACTAACGCTAGCACAAACATGGCATTGCCCATCCCCCCGCACGACCTCCTCGTCGTCCCCGTCGCCCATCCCGAGCGCACCGCGCTCCGCCAACAGTGCTACGACGTCCGCATTGCCGTCTTTCACTGCGAGCAGGGCTTCCCGCTCGACACCGAGATCGATGAGTCCGTGTCATTCATCTTAGCAGGCCGCCCCGCATGAGTGCCCGTCCGACGTTTGTTCTCCCGACCGCCGCAGCCTCGACGACGCGGCGACGCACATCCTCTTGCGGCTCGTGCCCTCGCACGAACCAGTCGGTACCATCCGCTGCACGAAGCACGACGGGTACTACAAGCTCAGCCGCCTCGCCGTCCTCAAAGACTACCGCCAATTCCGCTTCGGCCGGGCTCTGGTTCTCGCCCTGCACGACTACGCAAAGAAGGACGCGAAGCACACCCCCGGCGACCTTCCATTCGTCACGATCAAGGCCCACTCCCAGATCCCTGTCAAGGGCTTCTACGCGAGGTGTGCGACTAGTGCTATCGATTAAATATATTGCATGTGCTCATCTCGCCAATTTGTCACCGCTGCGGAAGATTTGGATACGAGTCCCAGGTAAGTCTATCTGCCTTCCTTCTGTGTGCGCACTTCTTCTTCGGCGGCCGAATTCACCCGGCTCTCAGGGTGATGAGTTCGATGAGGACGGAGCTCCGCATCAGTTGATGGTCGCTCGCTTGCCGATATCCGATGCAGACAGTTAGGGGGAAACACTCGTGCATTGGTCGTAAAGGTCGTAAGCGTATGTACATGGGAGCGGAGTGAAGAGCTAGCAATACAGCATATAGGAGAGGGGAGTGGTATACAGCGATACAACACTTGTGCGAAGTCCGTGTGGGTGTAACGTCATAAATGGTGCAACTAAAGGCATATGAGGTCGAAACGTGCATGCTCTAAGGACGTACTCCCGCTCCGCTGCAACTCTGCAAGAAGGTATATTGGAGGGTCACTCACAAATGTGGACCCTCCTCCCAAATACAAGCATGAACTGGAGATGTGAGAAGAAAATCATCATGGAAAGTCTGTTACAAGAATCAAGCAGCGATGCCAAACCGGCATTCATGCCGCTTACAAGCGATGAGGCACATCGGATGCGTCGTCGGTGGTGAAACCGTCGCTCTCGCTTTCGGTTCCAGGGCTCGGTGGCTCCTGCTTGCGCGGACGCAAAACGCTCCTCGGGAAGGGCATCGACTCGATCGACGTGCTAGGCAGAATGCTAAAGTTGATGCTCGTGCCATAGCCGGTCGTGCCTTCCTCGTACATCTTTCTCGCCGCTTCGTACTCGAGCTTCTCCTGCTCGGCTTGCGCAAGGAACGGCTACGTAATGGAAGACGAAGAATTCAGCTACCTGACTTGACCAACACAATAGATCGCGTACCTTGCGTTCCTCATCTGTCATCGAGCGCCACTTCCCAGCGGCCAGCACGCTTTGCTTCGTAGTTTCCGTCTCATCACCAAAGACCTCCTTTACCAGATCGGGATCCGACCGAATCCGCTGCAAGAACATGAAATACGCGCTCAGCGGCTTCTTCGGCGCGTTTGGGTCCTTGATGTTTCCCCGGCGGCTCTTGCCCGCGCGACGCTGTGCCGTTCGGAACGCGTTCTCGCGCTTGATGTCCTCTGGGGTCAGCGTGCGCATGTATGCCGCCAGCTCGCGCTCACGCTGCTCTTTCGCGAGCTGAGAACGACGCTTGTAAGGCTACAGCACAGCATGTGTCAGTAAGCGGGCCGAGGCACACCGGACGCGTCGAAACGGAACGTACCTGCTTCTGCGCGTCCGTGAGCTTCGCATACTCTTGGCCAGCTTCCTTCGCCGCCTGTGCAACATTAAGCTTCTTGTCGCTCGACGCCTGGTGGTGCGCAATCCAATCGGTGAAATAGAGCTGCCAGGCAGACGGTGCAAGCTTAGGCGGGCGAAGGGTCGACCGCTGCGGGCCTACGAGGATGAGTCATATGCGTATCAGTAACGCATGGTCGATGACAGCGAAGGCCGAGCGATGGGTACTCACGCTCACGGCTTTCCGCCCGCTTTTCCACGGGTCGCGCCTCCTCCTCTGAGCCTGCACGCTTCTTCTTTCGGATAGTTGCGTCGTCGTGCTCGCTTATCGACTCACGGCGGTTGCTGTACGGCCTCGAGAACGACTGCGCACGCATACGCGACACCGAGGGTGCACTTGAGGACTGGAAGATCTGGGTCACTGTCGGGAGCCCGCGGCGCGTAGCAACGCGTTGCCGCTGTGTTGCGTAATCGTCCTCGGACGGGGGTGGGAAGGAAACCGGCGGGGCGGCGACCGTGACCTCCTGGGGCTGCGGGCTGGGCGAGTCCCACAGCTGCGTCGCCCAGGCAGGGGTGTATGGCGTGTTGGCTGGGGACAATGCGCTGGTGCTGTCGCCGCGCAACGCGTCAGTCATGATCGCATCCTCGTCAGGGGTGTACGAGCGTGGGAGTGGCTGCAGTGCGGCGAAGGCGGTGAGAGGCGAGAACGCAGCCACGTCTGGGAACACAGAGCTGTCGTTGTATGCGCCAAAGGACTGCGGCTGGTGCTGCTGCGGTGGTGGGGTGGCGAGCGCCTGGTGAGCGGGGATCGGGATGGGCACCGACGCGCCTACGAAGGTGGACGCATCAGGATCGGTGAGCCAGTGGGAATAGAACGTAGTGTCATTAAAGTCCGGGGTGGCGGGCGTCATGTCCTGCTGACCAGCGAGCGCCTCGGGAGCAAATGAGCGATCGGCGGGAGACAGATAGGTCCCGCCGAGATCAAGCTGGCTCGACGTCGAGTCAGGCGATGCAGGAAAAGGCACATGCGACATGCGGAAGTCGGGGTGAGAATCCCAGATGAAGGGCGACTTGGACTCGAAGGGCTGCATGTCGTCAAAGTCGAAGATCATGTTGTCGGACTCAAGGCGGAGGGGGTCGTCGAAAGAGAAGATCGGAGAGCGGTCGCGAAGAGTCATGTCTGGTGGGGCGACGGCAACAGCGACGGCGTCGGGGTGATGGTGGCGGTCGCGACGGCGGAAAGAGAAGGGGGACATTGGGCGGAAGAGAGGGAGAGGGAGAGGACGGAGAGAGAGTAGAGTGACGGCTCCTTATATGGGAGCGCGCAGATATGATGGAGGGGATGGGAGCAATGGAAAGGCGGAGGCAGCGGGAGGGGATATGTGCGGAGGCATTTAAATGGTCGGAGGAGAGCTCGGCATGGAATTGGAAGCGGCGTTGGAAAGGGCGACGCTTGCGATTGTCGAGTGATTGCGGGTGCCCAACTGACTCGGATCGAATCAGCGGCAAGGGCGTTCTGTAATCTGTATCTCGGACGTCGGTGACGCTTGCCTGTTTCGGCGTGTCTGCCGTCCAATTTTAGTTGACAGCCGATAGAACGACGGGATCGCAGACGCCCCCGAGCCTCCTCGTGACCGCCGCCGCGCGAGCGAGACCATATCCTGCACGGACCCTGCCCCAGAGCGCGTCCGAGCAGGCGTCCGTCGTCGGCGCAGGCGCTGAGCTAGTCTGCAGACGCGCTGCGAGAGCTTGCTTGAACGGGCCGAGGCCCGCCCGGCATGCCCGGGGCACTATCCATATCAGGGAGGTGCGCCCCCGGGTGGCGGACGAGCGGCGCCATTGTCACCAGCCAATGGGGAGGCCGGCGGACGCAGGGGGAGGACCTCCGGTCGCCCTGGGACAATGGTGGGTCCCAAGGCCACTCTCTGATCATCTTTCACTGCCAAATGGAAGCCTATTATCGTGTGATCTCATTCTCGCAGAAGCGTACAAGGACAACTACCATCAGAGAACCACAACCCACTCCGCAGACCGGTACCTTGGGTTGTTGTAGACACTTTTGCCCGCCTGTCACCCATCCGTCCGAACAGGGGTCCATGCGCGCACACGTCAGGAAGAAACACGATAACAATCAGCAAACGAGCAGAACACGTCCCCGCCGAAGCAATGAGCGCCTCACCTCCCACCCCGGCACGTCCTTCATGATTTCCTTCTCCCTCTCCAACGCCGCCTGCTGGCGACGATACGCGTCACGGTCACCCTCGGCAAGTAGCAGCGGCACCAGGTGGATGCGTGACCAAATCTTTTCCCTCTGCAACTCCCTGCGAGGAACAATACATCCATATCAGCATCGAACCATTCTCTGCTCTCTGTCTATGACGCCAAATCCGGCCGTGAACAGCGATAAGACGCCGGTCTCGTGCGGTCGGATCCAAACGCAGCCACGTTCTGCGTCGAGCGGGCGCAGAACAGCACACGTTTGACGTCCGCCTGACCATGCCGCACCGGAAGGCTCGTCTGGTTTTTCCACGCACCTTCTCTCGAGATTGCCCTTTCCGACGCGGTAGAAGCCGTACGCGCATACAGCCGTCACGCCGCCGAGGATGACCAGTCCACTGGGCCCGCGCAGCGGGAGATTGCGCTTGTACTTGATCGCCTCGAATCCCCCGGGCGGGGGCATATCTCTATGTGCGTAGCACGCGATGCGTCAGCGGCGCAGCGCGCACGCATCATTGCAAAGATGGACGTACTGTCTGTATGGTACGGACACTGCCAACGACATGCCGTTCGAGCTTCCATTCTGCGCAAAACATGGAATGCACTCACTGGCGAGAATCCTGATAGGTGTGCAGGTATGCTAGCGCGATGATGCTGCGGAAATGTATGAATTGTCTGCGGCGGAGTGCTGGCCGTCAGCGAGTGTGTGGATGGAGGGATGCATTGACGTTCGCCGCGACGCGTGCTTGCCCGGGGGCGTGACGGGAGCCACGTGGGCCGGCCACAGCTGCCTTTTGCGGCAATTCCACCCGGAGAGCGCCCGAGGAGATTGCGGCGAGAGCGGGGGAGAGGAGGTGATGGATACGTTAGACAATTCCCCTCCTGCATTCTGGCTCGCTTAACTGCATGCCGTTATGCGAATATCGCACGAGAATATCAGAATGTGGCCCGCGACCAATTGCCATTGCACCGCGGCGTCAGCAGACGCTGCAGCCGGGGCATTCCCATCGCTCTGCTCGCCCTGGCTGCGATGTGAAATCGGAATAAATGGACACGACCGCCTTTGCCTATCGCGCCGCCAACGATGGGTGCGCGTGGGAAAGCCACCGGCTGGGAGCACGCGGGATCTGCCGAGAAGGCGAAGGCAGCGCGCGATGCGTGATTCAACGCCCGGACAAACATGACAGCCAATTGAGCTCCAATTTCGCCCTCGCCGCTGAGCTGCCCTCCTTCTCCGCCACCATCACCATGTCCCGCCAGCCGTCCCCCGGTCCTTCTCACCACCTCGCTCCCATGCAGCCCATGTATCATCCGCCCGGTGTCGCCATGAACACCCAGTTCATTGCGAAGCAGCGTAACAAGGCAATCGTCTCCGGTATCACCGCTGGCGTGGAGGACACAAAGTATCAGAACAAGTACCGTGAGCTCAAGAAGAAGGTCAAGGAGATCGAGGCGGTGAGTCCTGCATCTCTGTGCCAGCCACGACTGTGCACCTGACAACAGCTCGCTTCATCAACTGCCGCCATAGGACAATGACAGGCTGTATTTCAAGCTCCTTCTGGCCAAGAAAAATATCCGTCGCATGAACCTTGAACGAGCGTGAGTGCCATTGTCAGCGTTATTGGACTTCCCGTAACAGGTACACGTCAATCTCAGCATTCTCTATGAACGGCTCGCCGCCGTGCCACCCACCCCCGGCAGGCATGTGCAAGAACTCCCTCCCGAGCAGGACCCCATCTTCCATCAACACCCGCCCGCACCTCCCGAGCACGCTCGCGTGATCGACGTCAGCGACCCTGCGCTCGTCGAATACATGCGCACCCGGCCGGATGCGCGGCTCGTGCTCGGACCAGACGGACGCGTCGTCGCAGTCGAAGACGTGCCACCTGCTGCAGTCCCCAACGGTACACCTGCAGTGCCCTCACAACCGCCTCCGCACGGGCTGCCACTCGTGTACGGTTTTCGCCACGATTCAGGACCGGGCTACGACCCGAATCACCAGCTGCCACCCCTGCCCCCGATGATCCCTCTCATCCATCCCACGGCGGAAGCACCCCCGGACCTGCCCTCTCTCAACGAGCACCACGGCGCACCCTACCAGCCGGCGTACGCCCACCCGCACCCGCACCCGGACTCTTCCCACCATCCGCGCTCAAGCTCGGCTCGCCCAGATCTAGATCCCATGTCAGGCAGGGATGCGAGGATGGACACCCTCCCACCGGCGGCGCACGGCCATAGCCACAGCGGAAGCCCGAGCGCGCCACCCGAATCGCAAGGCGACCGGGGTCGGCGCCACGACGTGCAGGAGCTCGCCCACCCGCGCCCACACTCCCACACGCACGCGCCCCAGCCCACGCCCGCTCAGACCTCCGCGCAGAGCTTGCCCACATCTGAGCCGTCGCACTCGCCCGCGAGCACGCGCGGCTCGGACCGCAGCGCGGGGCGCATACACAATCATCAGCGCGTCGGGCCCGGCGCGAACATCAACCGCGAGATGACGGAGCGCGACTGGGAGCTGCGCCGCGAGCTCGAGTACCAGCGCGAGTTGGAGCGCGAGAGGGAGAGGGAGCGGGAGCGCGAGCTGGAGTACCGCTTGCGGCTGGAGCGTGAGGAGCAGGAGGCGCTCACGGCGGAGTGGATGCGCCAGCAGCACGCGCAGACGGCCGCAACGAATGCCAACTCAAGCCAGAATCCGTCGCGCAGTGTCTCTCCCTCAGGCTCGCCGATACAAAACCACGGAAGCCAAGGGAGTAGGGCGCCCTCGCGCCCGACGTCCGGCGAGGCCACGGCGTACCGTGACGACGGCGAGCGGGGACGGAGTAAGGCCCCGCGCGTGTCCAACCTGATCGGCGTCGACCGCGAGCTCGGGTACGAAGAGCACAATGGGGCTGCACGCGGCAGTGCCGCGGAGATACCCGCTGCCACTGTGGATGCGAGGAAGCGACTCCGAGGAGACGTGGAGATGGGTGACGAGTGCGCCGGAGAAGGGCGCTCGCCCGCCGAGGGCAGCCGTGCGTCCTCCAGACAGGGCAACCGTGCGCCGGAGGGGAGGGCTGTCAAAAGAAGACACATGGACGATGGCGGCGGGGAGCTCGGCGCGGGCGAGCAGAGAGACGAGCCTATGGATCAGGACTAGAGTCGCACTGGTTCGTGCTGTGCCATCCGAATACCGTGAAAAGTCTGTTCAATGTGCGTATGCCTCTAGACGTGTCTTCCATTGCGAGCGAGTGCTATTGTCTTGGCGAAACCATACACAGTTCTGTACTGCCCCACCGAATCTTGATACACAGACTGCAGCAGCTGTGTGGATCCGCAGGAGCATGTGTAATACCACTGCGGGTTGGTCGCTGTCCTTGTAACTTTGTTATTTACGGAATCTATCACAGATCCACTCTCCATTCCCCGGAATCTGCAATCTTGATTTCAATAAACGGTGACGGGTGTCGCGGGATTGGAGTATATGAACGAGCATGTGCATGTAAAATATGGGGTATGCGATTAATCATGTACATCAGGGACACACGTCTGCGCGCTCCCGACGAAGACATATGAGTCAGGTAGGCGTATCCGCAGCAGACACTGATGATTCGAAGCCAACAAACGGTGTACGTGTAACGTTAGCCGTCCAGGGGCTATGTGCACTTCTCAGAACTCTGCGAACCGAGGATCTCCCACAGAAGGACAGTCCATCATTGCATATTGCATTGTGGGCCGGATTTGGGGGTCGGACGATGAGCTGAATTCAGAGGAAGGTATGGATGGCGCACGAAGCCGCGAGCTACTCTCCTCGCTGTCCTCTTCATCTCGGTCTTCTTCTGGATCTGACCAGGAAGCAGTGGAACGGACCGCTGAGACCTGGTAACGGTCCGCCGGCGGGAAATTCAGCTCATCGCCCGGCGCGCCCTGACAATCCACGCCGTCGAACCCGAGCCGCCGCTTCGGAAGGACCGCCTCGCTAAGCTCGATCGCACGCATGATAATATCCTCGCTGTACTCCGACACGGGAGGCCTTGCGTTCAATATGACGTCCATGATGAATGGCCGTTTGCCGAGCAGCTCCGTGTCTAGTTCCGCGAGCTGGCGTGCCTTCACTAGCAGGGTGCGTGCGGGGGAGGGTGATGGTGATAGTGATAGTGGCGACGCTAAAACCACATGCGCTGCGCGCTGCCGTTTAGTTGGCCGTGGCTGTGCACCGTGACCGCCGTCGCTAGTGCGACTTTGTCGGGCATCGCCCGGGCGGACCTCTGTGCTAACGGACCGGTGTGGGCGATGACGACGGTGCCGTCCGTTCAATTGTTCGTTTCTGGGCGAGGGCACTGCTGCCTTCTTGGTGCGCTTGGCCGAGATTGGCAGCTCGGGAGTAGGGCGAGCGCCCCGTCGCGGCATCGATAGCACTCCTTTGGTCAGCCTTGGCTGCGTATGTAATGTCATATTGGACACGGGATAGAAGGAGCCTTACAAAGCTGTACTGGGCTGCGCCCCCGCTTCTGAGCTTCTGATGTGCTGGGAGCTCATTCCGGCCGCGAGATTTGATGCGAAGCGTGGACGTATGAGGTTGAATTCTCATCTCGTTCACGGTCAGCTCTGTTTTTCCTCGGCCATTGGGATCAGGACCGAGCACTGCCGTCGTCAGACACCAAACTATCCGCGTCTGAAACTAACTCAGCTCTGCGGATCAAGCGAGGACGGCGGTCCGAACGGGTACGAGATATTACTACGTGCACGCACCTCATCCAATCCTGCTCTTGGTCAGCTACACACGGCAGCTATTCAGTCGGCTTGATCATGCCATGAAGCACATATGCGACTGCGGGCCAGTTAGGATCGAAATAGGGGCTTACGCGGAAGCAGTCGGCGGGACGCGAAGTGAAAGCGTGAACGCAATCCGGAGCGTCGATAAGGTGGGCGGCCTGCAGCGATGCAAAGGGGATAGCACTTGCCACCACGGAACGGAAGCATCTCCACTTGCGCTCATCGGCGTCTGGGCTCAGATCCAGTCCTGATGAATGTTCGTGTACTAGCCGTCGCACGGATCGATCGACGACGTCCGAGCAATCGCTCTACCTGCGCCCAGTGTGGCCCCAGATCGCGCAGCTTTGCATCTGGAGCGTCTGCGTGGTCTGCGCAACGGAGCGCCCGAGGGGCCGTAAGGCTCGGGGAGGTTGGTAGCCACGCCTCGCAGCGAGCTAGTTCGTCGATCCGCTGCGTCATTCCCTGATCAGCAGCACCCAGTAAGGTTCCCTCATCGCTTTACTCGTGCCGGTCATCAATCTTCTCGAGCACAATCGCTCGGCAGGAAGGATCGGTGTGCGCGAACATCGTCCACGCTGCCTCACCAGAGCTAGCTCGAAATGGATATCATGATGGCGAGCCCGCGGAGACTGAAACCTCGCGAACCGGCCGTGCCGGCCGATAACTTTGCTATTGCGAAGTCCGCACAGCACCAATATCAATTCATGGACAATAATCAGCGCCTCCCTTGACACCGCCCTACATAACAAACAGAGTTCAATTCACACACACCTTCCTCGATGCCGGCGGTTCCCAACTAGTCACAATGGGGCAGCTATTTCAGGGCAACAGAAAGATGATACGCAGCCATCCCGCGACAGAATATGTACAGAGGACCCCAACGAGTCTTCGAGACCTCCTTTGTGGCGGACCGCGCCCATGCTTCTCGCGCTTACTCGCTCCACGCCTCCCACGTCCTACCGATAGACATGGTCCGCTACGGCAGGCACAATTCATCAGCCTAGCCCCTTACTATTGATTGACAGGATCGGTATGAACGTACCGTGCAGGTTCGCTGCAATCTCGGCTTCGGCCCTGTCTCCGTTCGAAAGCAGCTTCTCCTTGTTGTACAACAATTCTTCGCGTGTTTCCGTCGAGAACTCCTGATTTTGTGCTACGCGGCAGAACACGATCGAAACGAGCGTCAGTTTGAATGCACAAGAAAACAAAAAGTCCCATTGATATCGACGTCAGCGATGTTCCAAACGGTAGGAGGATGACTACGCACTCTCCACAATAGCGTCCACAGGGCAGGCCTCCTGACAGAATCCGCAATAGATACACTTGGTCATGTCGATATCTACAATTTGAAACACGGCCGGATATTCGTGAGTTTGTACAATTGGTATTGACGGGTCACAAACCATATCTCGTGGTCCGCCGCGAGCCGTCTGCTCGGGCTTCGCTCTCGATAGTTATAGCTTGAGCAGGGCAGATGGCCTCGCAGAGCTTGCAGGCTGAAAATAGTACGCACGGTGAACACGGCGGCCTTATGACACCTCCGGCATGACACATACCGATACAGCGCTCTTCGCCGGACGGGTATCTTCGCAGAGCATGCTCACCGCGGAAACGGGGGGAGAGGGGTCCCTTCTCGAAGGGATACATGATCGTGTATGGTGGCCTGAAGAACTGCTCGAGGACAATCCACATTCCTGGGAGGAGGCGCGGAAAATTAGCGGCGCGAACGCCGCGTATGTCATAGATGACGCACCTCGCAGAATCTCTGTGAGAAAGAAAAGATGAACGGCCTTTTCTACCGCCCCGGGGCCATCCTTGTAGGGGTCATAGTGCTTGTCGATCTCGTCGGCGGCAGTGTACATGGAGGCCTCCGTCCCGAGCGAGCGTGGGGCAACGGACTCTGTGATATAGTCTTTCGGCCCTGTTTGTTGCGTGGATGGGTCGACAGCACAGCGACGAGAGGAGGTAGAGAGTAATCGGTAGGTGAGCACGGCGGATGTACGGGACGGGGCAAGGCGAGTCGCGACCACCCGCATGGATGGTCCTGCAGTCACGAACGCTCGGAGGAAAGACATGGTATCGGAATGGTGATGGTTGTGGTCAAGGTGCTTGGGAGCGCGACGACCCCCTCGTGCTCAACGTTGTCGGCGATGGCGGGACAACTCGATGCCAGTAAGCGCCGAAGCTCGCAACGCCGGAGGATGCCGGGAAGATGACGCCGACCAATCGCACGGCGGGGATCACACAATTCATCTTCTGCTGATTTTCCAAGTCCGGCTCTTTCATATCGACATGTCTGCTACACAGAAAGCAAAACAAGCGCAGGCAAAGCCTCCCCCATTGACCACGCAAGGTATGCTCCACCGTCGTTGCAGATCGTGTGCGTATTTCATGGGCAACCTCGCCAGCCAGAGATTCAGCAAAACTATAACAGATTCCAAAGTGAGCTGCAGGGCTTGGCGAGTAAGATCGGAGAGCTTGAGCAGGAAGCCGAGGAGCATGGGTGAGTCTCGGAACTCCTAATACCAGTCATTGGTCTCATCTTGCCCGCATCAGCCTAGTACTAGCGACACTCGACGAGGCACTCGCGGATGAGCCCGGTCGCAAGTGCTTCCGGCTGGTTGGCGGCGTCCTTGTCGAACGGACAGTGAAAGACGTCGTTCCTGCTTTGCAACATAACAAGGAGAACGTATGAATGACATCTATCACTGCTGTTTCGGTGCTCATCGCGCTACGTAATAGATCTCGAAGGCAATCTCCACGCTGTCGGAGCAGTACAAAGTGAAAGAAGAGGAACTTGACACGTTCAAGAGGGAGTACAATATTATACCAGCAACCGCGGGTTAGCCGGCAATGTACGCTTCAAAGCTTCAATGGCCCGCGTATTGGACGGCGGGCCCAGGAGGATGTTCGCAACCCGTAGAGATGTCATCATGCTCATGTAGAGTGCTTGCGACTCAGATCCTCGTGTTGCGCTGAGCCGCTGTTTTATATCATCCTTCGAGACTCGGTTATGATCGTGTACTCCTATAATCACTGCCGCAGGTTTTGCGTGTAGCATATGGATTTCGTCTGGACAGCAACACCTCCATTCGACTTGACCATAACCACATGTACATCCGCCATGACTACATAACGAGTAGACAGTTGCTGAGATTACGCCAGTGTACAGATGCTCACTTGCAATCGTCCAGGACCCTGGCATATGGATGCCTGGTAGATCGCTAATCTCGGAATTGGCACCTGTCCATCAAATCTCCACGTGGGTCGCTGATCGAATAGCGATCGCTTGTATTTCCTTCCGCCACTGCACAGCTGCAGCTCAGCAGCTCATCCATCTTTCCTCCTCCCCGACGGCCACCAGCCGCACCGTCCTTTCCTTTTCACTTCCTGTCAGTTCTTCGTTTTCAAGGCGGGCGCGCCGATTCCTTCCTTGTTTCATGACATTCGTTTTGTGTTGAGCAAAAATGTCCTTTGGCGCCGCTTTCTGGGCTGTCTTCATTTTGGCTACTTTCTCGGTCGCAGCCCCTACGCCTGCTCGGGGTATGTTCAAAGTCTTCAGAAGAGCATTCAAAATCTGATACTCTCACAGAGGACATAATCAACTTGCTGCAAGGACTTGGAGGCTCCTACGAGGACCCGGTTCTGCCCTTTGGACACCTGGTGGCGGTTAGTGGTACGACAAGCAGCGGAGATAGCATCTCGTCCACAGCTGTCGATTCCTCCACGCAAAGGTCGACTTCCGCTTTACCAACCTCCTCGGATGATGCGAGTTCCAGCGAGCAGCCCACCACTTCGTCGCTGAGCTCTTCGGCCTTCAGCAGCAGCATTGTGACAGACACGAGCTCGTATGTGAGCGACACGTTGACTGTACCTTCGGCGACGAGTTCCGCATTACTCAGCTCATATGGTATGTTTTCCTCAATGAGCGTCAGTTTGAGGGTTTCATCTTCTGACACTTGATTGTTAGCGTCAGTCTCATCGCCTACTGCACAGTCTTCATCCATAATTAGCTCCGCTGTATCAACACTTGCAAACCCTAGCACGACATTGACCTCCGCGGAAACTAGCGGTTTGAGCTCAGCGGCTCTTTCATCCCTGCCGACATCTAGTGCATCTTCTATTTCCAATTCGGCGGCCGTAGTTTCATCATCTGCTGTTACGTCCGTCCCAGCTGTGGCGTCAAGCTCAAGCTCAAGCTCGGATGGTCCGTCATCTATCGTGCAGCAAACCTCCTTGGCGTTGACAAGCTCCGTATCGTCCGCCGTATCGTCGTCCGTTGTGGACTCGGCAAGCACTTCCATTCCTTCCGCTAGCGCTATTGCGGCGTCATCGAATACAGCGGGCTCCACCGCCACTTCCTCTATTGTTTCTGCAGCATCGCAGGCGTCGAGCACAGGACTGCCGTCATCCTCAGATGTTGCTCCCACCTCTGTACCATCCGCTTCGTCCTCATCCATTTCCAGCTCCAGCTCTATTGTATCATCCTCTAGCTCAGAGTCTGCGACGTCATCTCCCGTGCAAGTGTTGACCACTGCTGTATTGTCATCGACTGTATCGTCCTCATCATCATCTGTATCTGCAACCGTTGTCACGTCTTCGTCGTCATTATCGCTCTCCACCTCGGCGCCTGCGTCCTCATCCGAGGCTTCTTCATCCATTCTATCCACAAGTTACTCGGTAGCCGCAAGCTCGTCTATCTCTACGTTATCGATTTCCTCAGCAGGACCTGCGTCGTCTTCGTCTTCAGTTTCTTCATCTATTACGTCTGCTGCGCAGACGCCATCCGATTCTTCCTCTTCAGCAATCTCTTCGGCTCCAGGGAGCTCGACTGATACAGTTTTGTCTACCGACTCCGGCTCCGGTTCGGCAGCATCGTCGGCGTCTGTGATTTCAACGACCTCAACAGCCAATTCGTCAACTGTGGTAACTTCGTCGACGTTCATCTCAGCTTCGTTCAGCAGTTCTGGCTCCGCTTCGGCTGTGGCGTCGTCGTCATCGCTATCATCGTATTCGTCTACAAATATAACGTTGTCGTCGTCCGCATCTGTGGTCCCGACGATCTCAGTATTCAACTCATCGACTTTGGAAACTTCGTCGACATTTTTCTCTGCTTCATCCACCGGCTCGGGCTCCGGCTCGTCATCCGTGACTGCGAGCGAATCCACCGGGACGTCATCCGCTGTATTGTCCTCAGCTTCTGGGAATGTTACCGCTTCATCCACCGGGTCTGCCCTTTCGACATTGTCCGGCACGGCATCCGCGTCCTCTGCATCAGCCACAGCAGCAAATTCCTCCTCTGTGGCCCCAAGTAGCACCGGTTCGGCGACTTCTTCGTTCAACGGTACCTTAACAGCATCCGCGTCAGCCACAGCAGCAAATTCCTCTGTGGTCCCAAGTAGCACCGGTTCAGCGACTTCTTCGCTTAACAGTACCTCAATAGCATCCGCATCCGCCACAGCAGCAAATCCCTCCTCTGTGGTGCCAAGTAGCACCGGTTCAGCGACTTCGTCGTTCAACAGCACCTCAACTACGTCCGCGTCAGCCTCTTCGTCCTCCGCCGTTTTCACTGCTTCATCCACCGGCTCCGGCTCGTCATCCGCGACTGCGAGTGTATCGATCGGGGCGTCATCCGCTGTATTGTCCTCAGTTTCTGGGAACGTTACTGCTTCATCCACCGGGTCTGCTCTTTCAACGGTGTCAATATCCGGCACGGCATCCGCGTCTTCCGTATCGGCTACGGCGGCGAATTCCTCCTCTGTGGCCCCAAGTAGCACCGGTTCGGCGACTTCTTCGTTCAACAGTACCTCAACAGCATCAGCATCAGCCTCTTCATCCTCTTCCGCTCCCACCTCCAGCCCGACCACTGGCCAAACGGAGATTGCCGCCTACCTCGACATGCATAATTATTTCCGCGCGCAGTACGGTGCCTCGGCGCTGGCGTGGTCGGACGATCTGCAGGCGGCTGCGCAGAGTTATGCCGACAGCTGTGTGTTTGCCAATCCGGGCGACGCGCTCGGTGCGGTGGGCACGAATATGGCGGCTGGCACGGGGACGTTTGAGCCAACGGCTGCGGTGCAGTTGTTCATGAGCGATGAATGTAGGTTTGATGTGCGGATTTTAAAGTATAAATGGCATTCTCACGACCCTTTTTATCACAGCGTCGTATTCCGCTGCGAACCCAACGTACTCCCACTTCACACAGGTCGTGTGGAAGGCTACCACTGAGCTGGGGTGTGCTGCTGCACTGTGCGACAGTATCTTCGATGCTCCGGCGACGTACCATGTATGCGTCTACAATCCTGCCGGAAATATCATCGGAGAAGCGGAGTGAGTATTTCATGCACTGCTGATTATATGGGATGTCCGTTTGACAGCATCTATTCTAGCCTCAATGTCCAAGCTTAATGAGAAGAATCCTTCGAGTTACCCGGCGAACAAGCGTCGTTGATGTGTTCCTATTTAAAACGTTTCGCCCACCCTCTCCCGGGGGCTGGTAGATGTGCCTTTGCATATGGTTGGGCTAGTCCCTTCTGTCATCTCCCCTCATCCTCAAGGCTCCGTTTCGATTTCATTGGTCACAGGATGCCCGCGTCTGTTTGAATTACTATCGTTACAAACGTGCCATTCTGAAAAGTAAAACACCTAGCAATTGCTAAGTCAAGGCGCGTTTAATTCCTCACCGGTACGAGCTCTTATCGGCCCTGGCCGCACAGACTTGGCATGAAAATGGCAGATCTTGATTGCATCGCAGAACTAAGCAAAGCTATCTATGCAGCTGGTCAGGAATCTACCCTGCCTGAGAGATATCAAAGCAATCTGAGTACGTAGACAAAAGAGAAATATTGATTGGATGACAGCACAGGTGCAACCGCGACTACAAGGTTCTCTCTGCAAACTCATATAAACTCAACTGTCTCAACTCCGCGTCATAAAGGTACAAGAAGACACGCTTGTCACCGCCAACGACTGTGGTCGTCACTTAAAGACAGCGGAGAATGTCAGCTTTGGTGAGCGCACCGAGCAACCGAGAGAGATTTACCCCAGTTTGCGGCCTTGAGCCACTTCGTAGCATTGACCTTGTCATTCACTTGGGTATACAGCAGAATCAGCTTCAGCATCACTACTATCGCGAATTGGTGGGCGGTGCTCGTTGGTATACGGCTCCTCTCGATCGGGAGTGTTCCCATCCCTTTCCGCTTCGAGTTTCCTTTTGTGGGCTGTGACTTGTTGGTTTGAATTTTGTATCCCAGACAAGTCAGCGCCTTCATATTCTCGTCTATCGATTCGCGAAATGAGTTCGACGCATGCGAGGACCACAACTTCTCCGCTAACAAGACGTGAGGCGCATACATGCTCGGTCGCACTGGGCCTCTCGATGTGTGGTACGTCGAGAGGAAATCTTTCTCCCACTTGCTTAGAAGAGACAATGAAGTCGACCGCAGCGTGCTAGGACGGTACTTGTCCTCCAACGCGTCTCTGCGCCGGAGAGCAGTATCACCGTCAGCTCGGTCGGCGTTACAGAGCCAACAATCACAGCCTGATAGCATGTGGTCGCGCAGCGCATGCTCGCGTTGTACGTAGGATGGCTCCAGAGAGTATGGCATTGTGATCTCCGCTCCAGCTGAGATCGTGTCCATTGCCCTTACAACCATGACATCGCCGATACAATTCCAGATGGCATTTGGTACGCAAGAATGGTTGAACAGCGAGGGGAGTAAGTGCAATGCCGTCGGTTTCTCGAATCCTTGTGACTGCACGTCGTTAGGACGGATGGGCATCGCCTGGAAAGCATTATATGTGCAGATCGCATCCAGCTGCGCGATGTCGATGTCAGTGCTGGGATAGAGGGGATCTACAGCACGAGCTGCCTTGGAAACCTCAGGAGGATAGGAAGATGGGGGCGCAGGATAGTCAGGACCAGCATAGAGACCAAAGACATGATCGTGTAGATCCGGATTGCCATACAGCTTCTGGGCTACAAAAGCCACTGCAGCGCTTTGCGTTCGTGTCTTGAGTTTCGAGGAGAGCATGTCTGCGGCAAGTTGTATCACGTTGCCCCGCAAGTCGTCTTCAAAGACGGAAATGAATGGCTTTGATACAAGCTGTGCTCAACATTTGCTCAACAAATCAGAATAGAAGAACCACGCTGTGCGTCCGAGCAGACTTACGAGGAGCTCACCCACGCAGATGTCTTTGCTGGCCACAACACCTCGACCTCCTCCGCGGCCTTGCAATTGCGTCACTTGTATCGGACCTCGATAGTCGGCAACGTCGAGGCGTGTGCACTTTTCGGACTGTTTAAGTAACTTGAGCCAATCGTAGCTCCCATTTTGACTTTCCCGCAATCTTTCTCGTGAGCGAGCAATCCATTCCAGAACGTCTCTGTCGTCTGGATGTGAGCGATGCCACTCTGTGAACCTCGTTTCTGCAGCTTCATAGTTGCCTCTGGCATATTGCGCACGCGCCGCTCTGTATAGCGCCTTATCGCGATGTTCCTTCGAGAGCCGCGTGGTAGACTCCGCGAGTTCCGCGTCAGCCAAGGCTCCTGACCAGAACTGAAGACGCAGATATGCTTCTGCTCGATTAAGCCGGAGCACAGTTGAGTCGGGATCCAGCTCTGGCTTTATATCGATTTTATTTCACCTCCCATACCATACATCCCATCGATTGACCGTTCCCTTTCTCAATCCTGTGCCAGCATAAGTCAATATGATCAATCGCTCAAAACTCCTTGTGACGTACTCGCCGCTGTCCGATAATACATTGTTGGTGGCAACGGCCGCTCCAATTCGGTCTCGCGTCTTGCATTCCCTTGCCGTGACATAGGAGTTAGGGTATTCAATTTGCTACTCGAGCCACTGAGATGCACCTACAGTTCTCTGATCATTAATCACATCATTGGCGGAATCGGTCAGCCCTCTTGCGTTTTGCGTTTGCATCTTGCAACCACATCGAGACAGCGCATTCTGGAAAAACAAGTCAAGACGCAACATCGGGCGAGAGTAGGCAGTGAAGGACATTCGAGTGCAAAAAGGTCAATTTAAGTCAGACAATCAAGAGACCGGATCACCGACCTGAAATGTGTCAATGATTAGGGGCCACTGTTGGTGTGTCACAGCGATGGGCACATAGCGAGTGACATCTCCACCAGAAGTTGCCCAGTGAACGACCAATCGACCCACGCGTTCGTCTATGGCTGGCGGCTACGACCGTAGACGAAGCAGCATCTGGTAGTCCAGCAAATCACAGTAGAATTAGACACATTGTGGCGAGACTGTTGCATTGGAAGTACACTCACCGGCCACGAGGGCTGCTTTTCATGTCTGCTGGGGTGCCGCATTAACAACGCCCAACTTCATAGTAAATTGACAGCGATCGGCGACGATCGAGCGAGGGGAGAGAGAAAGCCATCGTTGCAACCCTGAGCTGGAAGCACCCTGACGATGATTCGTCGTCTCACATAACTCACGTGGGAGTGGCCGACACTCCGTACTCATCTACACAGAATTCGCGCTTTCATGAGCCATATCGCGGAAGAAGAGACGTCTCATGAACACGATAGGAGTCCAAAGGGGTAATGATGAGAACTTGGGGCACTGAAAAAGAGTGAGGGTTGTCGATACTGTCTATACCCGGGTTTTGTCATCGAGCATCTTTGAGGGACAAAGGAGAGCCACTGAGCAATAGTGACATCTAGAATCCATTTAGGGATAACCATCGGTACAGACGCGGTTTGGTTTAAAAAATGGCCGACACGGATGGTCAACAAACGGAACGATGTGAGCGCGATGAGCTGCGATGAGCGACTTTGCGTGACCTCGCGTGGCTTTCTCGCGCTTGGCTCCAGCGCGGCGACTCTCCGCGACGCTTGTTATGCCTTCAAATGTCTGTTTCTCGAGCAGAGCTTCTCGTCGCGTCCATGGCGTCGTTTGCGCACGTCAAGAAAATTGGTCGAATGATGCCCGAATAAGCGATGAATTTCTCTGCTACATTTGTCGCCACCGAGCTCGTCGAATTCTGCCCGCGGACTCGACGGTTCAAAATCCCTCAAAATATGTCCGGCAGCTCTTTGGCTCTCTGCAAGGATTCTGGGCATAAATGCTCCTGCCGGTTGGTCAAGAACAGGGCAATGTGAAGTTACCCGGCGCGGGGTAGACCACGGCTTGAAGGAACATGGCCACGATATGCATCGCAGCATGCATCCTGTTCGCTTTCTTGGCAATTCAAGCTCCCTGGAGCGACTATTCTGGTGCTTTCTAATGTCTTCTGAACGTGCTCTGCCTTTTTCCAGCTGTGGATTGCACGCGACATCGACGTGAATCGTCAGAATCGAAGAGGTACGTCCCATTCGTGGTGCACCATCATTTCATATCCTCGGGACATTATGCATGCTGCTCATCTCGCTCGGTGTTTGGTGCTACGGGCAAGTTGGTTCGTGTCACCGCGTCAGGCCGTAGGCCTGATGGACTAGTGTCACCTTATTCTGTTCTGGCTTGCATCATGCGTCTTGGTAAAACGTCTTCGGGAATCGCGATGCCGGAGCCTACTCGTTGTATTGAAGGTCAGGAAAGTTGCTTTTGGCGTGGCTTTACTAGGTCGGGAGCTCCCTCGATAATCTTCTTGCCGTTAAGAGCTCTTGCATCCAGGGTATCTTCATACCCTTCATTCCATGCTGTCAACGTCATCGACGTTTTCCACAAGGGAAAATAAATCAATCTATTGCTCGTGGTCCCCGTCGGAACAGGCCACTTGCCTGACAGGCGTCTCTGTTGCGCGCCTGCGCAATGTGATGTGACAATGTGATGCATGGTTGTGTCACTGTCACCGTGGCGTCTGTCCCCATCCCGCGGCGCGGCGGGAGTATTGTGAACGAAGCGAGACTGATCATGTCCAAAGCAAAGCTGTTAGTTGCGTGAGTGAGAAAAAAAGCTCACAATGGCGCTTTTCATGTCCGACTGGCGCTGCATGAAAAAAATTGGAGCCTACTGTCAATTTCCGTGGATTCATGAGCTGTCCACACATCCACAGTGGCAGTGAGGAACACTCATGCGTGTCCAACATGCCTGAGAGTACTCTCAGAGCAGCTATTTGCCCTGGTTGAGTCTATTTATGAGATGGTTGAGAGGCGTCACGGACAGCTCACAGCAGATTCACTTTCGGTTGATGACAATGTCGCGTGTCTTCGCGATGCTGATGGCTCATCTTCATGTAGTCTTTGACGAAGTTGAAGTCACTGCTCGCCGTGCTGTATTCTTAAGCCAGAGGTTCAGTAGCAGGAGAGGTAGGGCAGCTGTGCATTATTCGCGAAAGCATTCGCGGGGGGGATCGCGGAAGCAAAACGAGAGCGGCGTGTTGTTGCCACAGGGAGTTTAAGCTCATCACCTCAATGTGCCGTCACCCAGCCATATGTAGGCAATCTGCGCCGCTTCTCTCGATTTTCCACGGCCGACAGCTCGGTGGGCTATAAAATGATTACTGGATGGCTTACGACACCCCTTCCCCGTTCCTCACGACTATACTACGTGAAAGCCGCAAGGTGGAGAAAGCGAGCAGCCTTGGGGCGTTCATCGCCGCACTTGTACATCCATCGCCGCGCAAGGATACAACTTGAGCACGTTCCTCTGAACCGATTTTCTGAGCGGCCTCCTTGCTGCACACGTTCGACAATGCCTCTTATCCCAGCTAGCTATCCTCTCCGGCTGCCTAGCTACCGTTCAAGCCACAGACACAGATTCCACCCCTACTCGATGGCCAAACGTCCACGCCTTCTGCGGGTATGTCATGCTGTTCTGCCGTTACTATCGAATTTTTCATGAGACTGTCCATAGGCTCAAACCAATTTTGAGGAAGGTAGCGAACGGACATTGAATGATCCTCTAGAAGTAACATTGGTGAGTTGAAATAGTCGCCAGCAGGTCAACATGGGGCTAAGATGGTTGTCAGTGCCGTATTCAAGGTGCTGTAGGTGAATCGGACGATGACGTCTCACCCTTGGTCTTGGACGTCGTGGGCCCGTCCGAACCTGACCTCAAGGAACATCAGAATATGCCGATATCCATTTTCCCGCCGAGGATCGCCGATATAATTGCTGTGAGCCTTCGAATTGTCTTGTTTTTTCTAACTTGCTAACATTCCTATGGCACAGTACGTCGTGCTCATGGCCGGCGAGACATCTCAAAAGACTCGCGGTGTCGTAAAATGGCTGTGGAGCTCTGCGGTTGGGCTCTTTATATGAGGTTCTTGTCGTTCCGACACGGCTTGGAACGGCTTGGGCTTGTGTTGCTGTTGGATTTATTGCAGCGTGTTGGCTTCCATCGTACCCTCAGCGCACACCGCCCGCTGTGGCTTGGCCTGCGTGCCTTCACTGGAACGACAACACAGCGTGGTATTCATCTCCCTCGGCAATGTGCTCTGTAGATGTATCGTCGTCTGTCGGTATCCATCTTTGCTAAGTCTTCGTCTTTGTAGTCGTTGTATTTGCGCTATTAGTACCATCTATGCTGTCATTTTCTTTGTGCTCATGATGCAGAGAAGTTGTATTTTGTATGTCGTCTGTCTTGTATATCAAATTGATCGTAAGGGTTCAAAATACAGCTTCGTTGTTTTGCATATTGATGACAACTCATCAGTCTATACATTCATTCACACATCTTGAGGTGCACAAAACAGTGTTTGAGGACATGCATTTTAATGTTGGTGATTATATGCAATCGCTCTTGCATTTGCACATGTTTCGAGACTGGATGGAGTTCTTCATGTTGATCCTGCGAAAGTGCTGCTACTTCCTCTCACTTTAGTATGAGGCTGTATATACATGCCGTGCAATTGTATCTGATTGCAATATACACTGGAGCAACGCATATCGTCTCATGCCATTGCAGATCCAACCTGGACATTATCACTGGTGAGCCAGCAGAGAAATACTTTAAGAGGCGCATTAGGGATTATTCCCACCATGAGAACTAGTATGGCAGCTCACGTCGTAATTTCTTCCACGGACCACGCCGCACATTCGCCATTGAATCCATCTTTGCACCGCCTCGCGCAAGGCCCAGAGCCAGCGGCGGAGCTAGACAGGCCGGATAAATGCCTTCTGTGGTTCTTGAGATGGTTCCTAGGGCGGCATGCACTCAGCCGCAATTTAGCGAACTGATAGCCGAGGAGAAGCTCAAGAAGCAGCGGGAGAAGAGCAGTCCAATACCGTTGCTTCTGTGCTGCAAGGTTGTGGCAGAGGTAGTCAGAGACAGAACGACATTGAAGACAGCGTGTGCATGATGAGCATAAGAGGTTCTGGTACGAGAACGTATGGCGGGAGCAAAGCACAGCAGGAGCAACTGGCAGCCACAAATTCGCAGACGCGACGCAATTCATTAGTGCACGTGGTAGAGTCCACTCGGTCACGAGACTGTGAGTCTGTAGCTGCGGAGTTCGAACCTTGGGCGCCTGGGCGCTCAACGAAGTCCCGCTTGTGCAGAACGCAGCGTTCACTATGGACTCGAAACAACAACCCGTAATTGAACGCCTCTCTTTAACAACTCAATCTCGGATTCGTTCCACGCAGATACTCATTTCGTTGCCACAAATCATTTCCGAGTTCGTACAGAACTCTCTGGATGCAGGCGCCGGGAACGTCGACATCGGGATTGATTGCGAAGAGTGGTCATGTTGGGTCCGTGACGATGGTTCGGGAATCAGCAGAGATGGCTTTGATGTCCTCGCGGGCAGCTCGCAAGTTGGGCGCTATGGTAGTTGGATTTAATTTAGCGAAAACGTACGAACGTGCATTGAGAGACTCGCCGTAGGTACATCCAAAGCGTATTCTCCCGATAGTTTGGGGCAAGTGTCGACTTTTGGCTTCCGAGGAGAAGGTAGTGTTATTCTTGATGAATGCTTCAGGACGCGGCTCATCAGATGCTGCAAATAGCTCTGGCATCCGCGGCAGACCTATCATGCATTGAGATCTCTTCCAGAACTGCGAGGTCTCGAGAAAGCTGGTCTGTAATCCTCAAAGTACACCTTATAGCTGAGAAAAATCTCAAACTTGTGCTCACACTTTGTCGTCTCAGGGCGGGGACGTACTCTATAACGGACCTTCCGTTAGGTGGCGGAGAGAAAGTCCAGGAACTGTTGTGTCAGTACGCGACGCATTCTACAATGTACGTGTTTCCTATCGTGTCTTCACTTCTGTTAATGGAGTACATTTCATTTCGGTAGCTCCCTATCCGCCGAAGATCGCACCCGTCGGCTTCAAAGACAATAGAGCTTGTCAGAAAGGATATCGAGACATTTGCCTTAGTTTCCCCCCATGTTTCTTTTACCTTGGAAAATCTCGCAGAGAACAAAGGAGAAAGCTCTCGCATGAGCCGTGTAATGACCGTACCCAAGGTCAGCCTTGTTTTCTACTGACCGTCTGAACATCTCTTACATTTTGGGCGACTTGCCGTTAGACGGCCTCAAGTCTTGCAGCGTTCCGTCATTTGTATGGTAGGGCGCTTGTCGAGGTATGTTGTGTCGCGCGTGATGATCCTCTAATTTGAAGCTGGATGACTGCCGCAGCATGCCGAAGAGATCAACGAGAGCTCTGGTGATACGAATTTGCAAGGATTCATTAGTCTAGATGGTGCACAATCCAAGGTATGCGGCAGTTTCTGTCGGTTAAGTAGTCTGTCATGCTCATGGATTCGAACGCCAGGCATATCAATTTCTGTGTATGCTACGCGGGCACCTTATTCACATCGCAATCGACTGATCGTTGTCCAGACGTTAATAGACACCCCATGTCACCATGTGTGATCCACCGTATCATCGATGCCGCATTTGCCAGAAGCTCCTTTGCGAAACATGTGCGTAATACTGCAGTATACTTTATATTCTGTGTTAATTGTCTCTCAGGCGCTCAACGAGGAAGGCGAGGATGACCGGCCATTTTCAAGTACGAGCTGTTAATCGGACGCTAACTGCTAAATGACCCATGCATTCTCTCCCGTCATTAGATGTCCGCCGCTCCCCGCGCAAGTCGGAAAAGAAGCCGGTCTATGTGTTGAACCTCTTGATCCCTCCACGGAGTGTCGATAACTGCCTCGAACCCGCCAAATCTGCCGTTCATTTACAGGTATGTCTCTAACGTATGCATCTAACCATGGTAATACTCAGCTCGTGGCACAGAACGCAGATGCTGCTCACGCATTCCTATCATCCGTGGTAGAGACATTCCTCGAACGGCATGGCTTCCTCATGTCAGGGACATCTCGAACCCACATTACCACCTTGGGAGAGAACGGCCACTGTGAGCCGTCGCACAAGAAAAGAAGGAAGATCGTTAGCGGACGGGAACGCCAGCCGAGTACCGAGCCAGCAGTGCCAGTACAGCGCCACGACCGTCTTGATAGTCCTCATACACACGCTGAGATGCCTATTCTCGTACACCCGGTATGCTCGACCATGGCTTGCGCATCCCTTGCACTGACCCTTCGTAGGAAATACATGCTCATGATCTACCCGAACCTAACGGAGGGATGTTTCAGGCGTTGTGGACCGATCCATCGACAGGCGAACGTTTTGTTGTGGACACACGAACGGGCAACTCATATTCAATGCATGCACGCTCGAATTTATATGCAAAGATTGATGAGCTTCCTGTCCAGCGAAGACGCACTCTCGGCCCTCTAGCTCGCAAGGATGGTGAGGGACGGTCTGATACTAAGCAAAAGGATAATTTGCCTGAATGGATGAAGAATGCACTCGAGGTCCGGTCTTCTTAATACCTTCTTTCAGTCTTTTCCTGATGGAGCTGGTAATGCTTTAGACAAATGAAGTCTATAGCATGGCAGAACCTCGGATTCGTTCAGTGAACATTTCCTCTGCGACGATGGCGGGTGTAGATGGATTTCGTCATGACTGCTCGCATCATGAAGAGTATTTCGACATAACGAGAGGAGGACAACGAGGCACTGTTTGGCGAAACCGGTGGCAAGAAATTGGCGCATCTCAGATTCGGGATGGACGATTCGCCAAGACGGATCTGCGCAAAGCGCGTGTATTGGGCCAAATAGATCGGAAATTCATTGCGTGCATCGTTGATTCCGACTCAAGTGACAAGATGGACGGGAACAAGAGTGTAGGGCGCACGCTCATCCTCATTGACCAGCACGCAGCAGACGAGCGTGTTCGTGTGGAACGCTTTTTGCGCGAACTCTGTGTTGGCTTCCTAGGATATCGCACCGCCAGTGGCCCTTTGGCATATGGTGATGTCGAGGACAGTCCCGATCTCAATCGCGGAGGCGTACGGACGAGAGAGCTTTCATCTCCAGTTCCTATTCTGTTGACCCGTCGTGAATCTTCCAAAATTGCGGAGGAAGACATCCAAACCGCATTCAAGTGTTGGGGCATTCGGTTTTTATTGCCGGATAGTCAACAACGCGAAGAGGTAGATATTCTAGACCAGAATAGAGGGCAAGACTCTATGAATAGTTATGCGCAAGTATTCGTTAGCAATATTCCAGAGATAGTGGCAGACAAGGTCAGTTATCTACTAATTATGCGCAATATAAGCTGTACTGAGGCCATGTTTTTCTCAGTTGCTCACCGGTGACGAGCTTAAGGAACTGGTCAAGGGCTACCTCGCGACGCTCGAGATGGAGGGTCTTCCGACAACTCCACGCGGACAACCCGAGGCGTTCAGTGAGGGTGACGAAGACCTTGTGTGGCAGAAAGCGATGCGATGGTGTCCTCGGCAACTGCTTGAACTCGTCAACTCGAAAGCTTGCCGAGGTGAGCGATTCTTCGCTGTCGCATCGGCATTGACTCACAAGCCTGCACAGGTGCAATTATGTTTAACGACTCGCTGACGACGGAACAATGTTCGAGGTTGGTGCAACAGTTGTCTGAGACAATCTTTCCGTTCCAATGCGCGCATGGTAGGCGAGTACTGTCTCTCGTTCATTGCTGTGGACATAACACGTTGAACGTCTTCACTATTTTAGACCATCGCTCGTGCCGCTTATGGAACTTGGACGAGAACACGGGAGTGAGATGAGTAGCCCCTTCGCGCACAGGGTAGTAGTAGATTGGTCGCACTTCCAGGCATGGTGAGCCTCATACTCATAGTACTATTAACGATCTCCTCGTTCACCATGACACGAACACTCAGAAGTGATTAGTCTGGTCTGATTGTTGTTACATCCGACCCAAGTCCGCTCAGATGTCGCGCGCCTCAAACTCGAGCATTGTGCAACGTCCCGCTAGATTCTATGGCGCCACCTCGTGATAGCAAGCTCTCTGTCGAGCGGGAGATGCAACTATATTTGGTTTTAATTACCATAAAGAAGAGAAGAACGATGACTATTCTACCCAGTCTAGTCATCGTTCGAAATTTAGACAATATTGTTAATGCATCAAGCGATAAATGCAAGGGCCAAGAGTCCTATGCCTCAGTCTGCGATAGATCTACATCTACTCCCACCATGCTACAATCGGTGCAAACGCCATCTATCAATTTGCTCGGGTCGTCGTTGATCGCAGTGTCGGTATTGGTATTGAAGGCTTCGGCGGCAACCCAAAGGGAATCGGCGTCATCGTCAGCAAAATAAGTCACATCGTTTATCGATGCGTTGAGTTTGCGGAGACGGAACATCAGTCGTGATAATATTATTGATGTCTGTCTGGAGTGAAACAGATGTTCAGTTGATATATCAAGAAATGCATGTCGTACAATACAAACGCAGCTACCCAGGCGTGTACTGGCTCTGTGAACTGGAATACAATCAGTGCGAGACATAGAGCACTGAATATTTGATCATCATACGAGAGTTGAGTCGAGATGACTGATGCCTATGCCGACAGCATTGACGACGGACAAAGCCCTATATCCAAATTGAGGCACGTTATCTCTGCACGAGAATGCGTGCGACCTACGCAAAATACCAGGTTGCTTGGCGTTGCGAGCAGGGAGCTGTGAGGAAAAATCTAGTCCGGGCGATATCGGGACATACTATTTATAAGTAGTGAGTCTCCAAGTGCAGCTCTCTTGGAGACATCATTGATAGGGTGCATCTTCTTCCAAGTGAGGAACATCCCAACAATGTCAGCGAGGATCGACGATGCTCTGCCGCCGAGTTCCCCTACTCAGAGAATAGTGTTACAGTGCATGACCGCTGAGGCTTTATCACCTACAACTATGTAGGATTTCAGTCACTCTGGATGTAACTTTCCGTGAATGATTCTCACTTGTCAAATGCGCTCGCAGATATCCGCGTCTTGTATGAGCATACAGCTCGACCTCCATGCGATGTCTTGAGATGGGGCTCCATCACGGTAAACGTATACTAGATATATTTAATGAACGGTAAGCAAAATTCGAACCCGCATAAGCTCTTACCACTAATATTGCGGGAGCGATGATGTTCAGCCCAAGGACCAGGGCAAAAACGGACTTGCTTTTATTGTAAATGGCATACATACGCAGGGCCGTGAAGACTACGAGCGTTTGCGAAAGTCAATGTGTTGTTGTATATGGATATCAGACGAGCATGCCTACTGGCAGCACTGATCAAGAAAATCGCTTCAATGACCATTCGAGACACCACGAATGCGACACAGCTGGTCAGATCTCCGCGTGAGTGATCAGTTTACCTGATAAAATCAAAATGATTACATCTGTTGGCAACATGTCACAAAGGCTCACGTCTACGGATCGACGTACTCACTGGCCAACTTGAGAATGCAGCCAACCAAGGTATCCAGATGAACGTTTGAAGAATTGCGCAATACCTCAGTGCGTAAAACAGTGCGGACGCAAAAGTGAATCGGGCCTTCCAAATGTACTCATACTCGTCCCCAATGGTGAGGAAGTAGTCATACAGTATCAGTGCTGAAGGGTTCATTTAGAGAAGACGTCAGCAATACCGCAGGAATGCTGGCGACACACCTGAGGCTGAGAAATGAAGCGATGTTCTCGCAGGACTTGTGAGGACGATCTTGTTAGTGAGACGTTGATATATAACTGTAGAACGGACCGCAGTGACACGTACTTATTTGCAAGTTCCTTCGGTATGTTTCGCGGAGACATTCAGTTCCCGTGGTAGTGACACGCAGTCTCCCGAAGTGTCGTGTAAGGCACATGCATAAGCGAGGGCTGCGGGCTGAGCGCGAATTAGGTCCTTATTATGAAATATATACTCGGATCTTTCGAGCGTTGGCGCTCCAGATAAAGTTCTCCATTGAGCAATGAGCGCTGAGCGTCCAAGTGGAAACCCAACGTTCAACGTCAGCGGTAAGCAGGAATTCAAATAGCGGCAAATGATGGATTTCCATCGCCTCGAAATTACACGAAATTGCTGTGGTCGCACAGGCTGCCGCAGGTCGAACTCCCTTGCACCTGCTCCTGTCATCCCAAAGTCAAAATGAGCACTGTCAACTGACATGATGAACTCAATGTCGGTGTCCATAGTGATAGCTGAGAAGCCAATCAGAGGTCCGAGACAGAATTATGATAATCAAAGACAATGTCTCTCAAATTTTCGACGCGTTGACTTTGCGCGAATGGATCCAACGTGAGCCTTAATAACATGATTAGTGCTTGCCTGGACTAACCTACATACACCATCGGTATCATGTCACCGAGAAAGCATGTCGCGGAAATACAAGGGGACAAACCTAGATGTTGGTCGGTTCTGTAGACTATAATGAAGTCGGTATAAGACGTAGCGCAGTGAATTGTTTGTCGACGTACAGAAGTTGAGCCGAGAAGTCTGAGACACTTGTTTCCCCTCGTGAAGTCCACGCGACTTAGGCAAAATACCAGGCTTGTTTGATACAGCGAGTCGGGGAGGTGCAAGAAAAGGCAAGTCAACAGTATCTCAACGACACCGGCGGCGACTGACAATATTTTCTGTTACCGAAATCCCCGAAATCCCCTACCACCGTAATGGTTTACAGTTAGTTCGTATGGGTACAGAAACATCAGCTTGACCGGTCATATTCGGCCAGAACTACATCCTACGATTCCGTGAGAAAACATCCGGCGAAATCCTGCCATTTTTGAGACTTTATGAATAAACTCACCTGCGCATTTCACAAAGAGACACGGTGGAAGTATCGATGTGGCCCTTGACGAAGCGCCGGTGCACGTGGACAGGGGGGCCGTGCCGGGGACAAAGATGGCTCGGCCGAGAAGATTCATGTGCTCGTCGACGGGCGCGGGACGAGATGGCGCCCTGCACGCGCCTCCTCACCCCGACGCGGCCAAACGGTCTCCTGAACGCTGGAGACAGGTGTTCCTCGACGTTCCCTAGTTGGCGATGCGGCTGCCTGCCAACATTCGACCGATTCTCGCGTCGACCCAACGCCTCGCTGACGTCTCTCGACAGCGCGCCGCCGTTCGTTCCATCGTTCATCGGTCGCTCCTTCAGCGAAGATGGCTCAACTCCTCGTTAGCAGCTGACCAGTCGCCGACCACCAGCGTTGAGCGCGGGAGACTGAGCGAGCGGGAGGCGAAGCATGCGCTGTCTACTCGGGAGGAGACTGGTACGTCGTATGCAGCGATCCGGGTGCTAGGTTCTGTGAGGTTTATCTTTAGCAGCGGTGTTGACCCCAATGCAGAGATATCGCGCGATTGTCGACTCTGGAGTGCTGAAGTTTGATCCGCATCAGCAACGGATTATTGGCAAGCTGCAGAAGCTACACGATGAGCTCGAAACGTATCACCCACCATCAATTAACCCGGACACTTATCGACCCTCTTTAGTCCGTTGCCTTTGCACGTACTGCTTGCTCAGACTTTCACATATTTGGTGGTATCAGTTTTCTCGCCTGTTCTCTCGACAAAACTCGATAGAGGGCACTGTACCGCTCGAGCAAGTCCCGAAGGGGCTTTACCTCTTTGGTGATGTCGGAACAGGCAAGACGATGCTTATGGACCTCTTCTACGACACCCTCCCTCCGCAAATCAAGCGCAAGCGGCGCGTGCACTTCCACGCCTTCATGATCGACGTGCATAAGCGCATGCATGCGATGAAGGCAAAGTTGGGGCTGCGCGGCGGTGATCCGATCCCGCCCGTCGCGCGCGACCTGGCTCACGAGGCGTACGTCTTGTGCTTTGATGAATTTCAGGTATGATTAGCGGACCTTCCCGCTGAGCTTTTGACACAACTGTTGTCGCTCGGCAGGTCACGGATATAGCGGATGCGATGATTCTGCGACAGCTGTTCGAGCGTCTCCTGAGCCACGGTGTCGTCTGCGTGATCACGTCAAAGTGAGCGCATCTCGTATCTTTCTTGATTTACTGACGGCGTGATCCATGCAGTCGACATCCAGATGATCTATACAAGAACGGCATTCAGCGATCGAGTTTTCTTCCGTGCATCGAGCTACTAAAGACGCACTTTGACGTCACCGACCTCGACTCTGGCACTGGTCAGTAGTTTCCATCAACTGGTTTTCTATGTCTAAGGTCTAATCATCACATCTGTCCTTCACAGACTATCGCCGTTTACCTCATGCGGTCTCCCATGTCTATTACGACCCACTCACCCCGGAGAACAGAGCGGAAGTCGAGAAGATCTTCTCCGCGGTCACGTCCGACCCCGCAGATCCCGTCGTGCATAACCGTAAGCTGCACACATGGGGGCGCACGATCCTTGTCCCCGAAAGCTCGAGCACTGTCGCGAAGTTCGAGTTTGACGATCTGTGTGGGAATCCGCTGAGTGCGGCGGACTACTTAGAGATCACGAAGAATTTTAAGACGATTTTCGTGCTGGATGTGCCGAAGATGGGGCTGAGCCAGAAGGACAAGGTTTGTACGAAGCCATCTGTACGAATTTGGGTGATGCTGACAAAGGTCGGATTAGGCACGGAGGTTTATCACATTCATTGACGGTGAGTTGACCCAGGCAATGCACCTTGTCCGCATGTTGACGCATATCCGTTTCAGCATGCTATGAGAGCAAGGTGTCTTTCTTGGTCCATTGAGAGTCTTGAGATGAGATATTGACCAAGCGTGTAGACGAAGCTGTTCATGACCTCTGAGGTGCCAGTTGCGCAGATATTCGCAGAAGATAACAACAAGGGTGAAGCTGGTGTCTCGGACCAGATGCGGCAGATGATGGACGATCTTGTGTGTTCATCTATCGTCGTCGGTTTACAACGGGTTTGGTATTCACGTAGCGCGCACAGGGCCTCCCGAGTGATGTCGTCATTTCGAGCTCTGTGTGCAGTGGAGAGGAAGAGCTGTTTGCGTTTGCGCGGTGTTGCTCGCGTCTGGTGCAGATGGGCAGCAAGAAGTGGATGGAGAACGCTGGTGTCTCATAGCGAATCTAGGATACAGATAGAGGAGTATTTGATTTCTACAATGCGGGATGCTGAACGTCTCTATCGTCACGCATTCATTAATATTACAGCCAGGCATCACACTAAATTAAATTGACAGTCGCTTCTTCCTCTCGGTCTTTGGGTGAGTAGAAACGAAATATATCTCATCGGACATAAATAGGCTGCTGAACGATTCTTGGATAATGAGTATTATAGCTTTCCGAAAACCAAAGATCTCATCCACGGCCATAGGACTCTGAAAACACCGCATCCCGTCCGATCTGCGCAGTTAACCAGAGTGCCGCCTAGTTAGTACCACGGTGGGGGACCACGCGGGAATCCTGGGTGCTGTGGTTTTTTTTCGCGCTTTTATTGGATTATTGTTTTTATTACTCTGTTACGCAGAAAGATTGTGATCCTGCAATCGCATTCCTGATGCACTTCTCCTACTACACAGCCAAGGAAAGGCACAAAGTACGGTCTTTTCCTGAAGTGATTCATTTGATGAGAAAGGCTTGTCAATTCAATTCAATTCCAATATCTTTTCTGCATCAAGAAGCTGTGCTGTGAGTAGTCTTGCGTTCACATGTATATATAATACAGGTTCCCTTTTTCTATGCTGTCTTAGAAAGCATAACAACTGACGTAAAAGCAATCTGATATAATCTGTAGTTCCATTTCTATGAAGCGACGAGATCGGTGCCCTACGTGGTCGGGCACACCCAAGCGCGCGGATGCAATCGGTGCTTTCGTGATCGACCACTACCATGTCCGAGACAGGGACATCCTCAGCATCATTCAGGCCTGCGCTGCTCGTCGTGGACGTGCAGGAGGACTTCTGCCCACCCGTACTAACATCTCATCTGCTTCGTTCCAGGCGCGGACGATGCTGACATAGCTGTGTGCAGAGCGGCGCCCTTGCCGTCCCTGACGGGCGCGCAGTCGTGCCTGTGATCAACTCGTTGCTCGAGCTGCCTTTCGTATTCAAAGTCGCCACGAAGGACCACCACCCCCCGAATCACATCAGCTTCGCGTCGAACCACGGGCTCGATGCGCGCCCGTTCGAGTCGACGACGAC